GTTCATCGAAACCCAGTTTGGCTACCTCGATTACCATGACTACCCCGGGCAGAAATATTATCGAAACTATCAGGGCGAACATGACCTTGACTTAATCAGGCGCTACATCCCATACAACCTCTGCTCGGGTTATCCTGATGTGACCTACCGATACTTCGCTATGAATTGGCCCGAGTTATGCATATTTGTAAGGCAAATCGTTTTACCTGCATTATTTAACTCTAAATTTTGCAAGTGATCATGATTTTGGGGTACTTTGGCATATATTAGGAATACCGGAAAGTAGTGTTTTTATTTTAATGAATGACAAGAAAATTTCTAACTGGCGAACGCCTTGCTTTTCAGTCGTTTATATAATCGGCATCGTTATCAAGCATGATGACTTATTTTGAAAATAAGTTCTCAGTACCCTCTTTATAAAAGGAAGTTTGTCTTGAGGTAAAAATCCCAAGGAATCTCAGTTTTGACATCATCAATATTTCGAGCAGTTTTTCCGTCCAGGAAGCGAAAAAAAGATATAAACAACTAATAATCCATTGGTGTACAATCAGGTGAATGTGGTGAATGGGGAAAAAGTTACCACCCCAAGTCTTGGATCTTGTGCTGGATCTGCAGGGCCGAGTGCAGTCTGGGTAACAATCGGGAGATGGCACCCAAAAAATCCGTTACCTAGAAATAATACCTCTAACAGTGGACTCAAACACTTTTAGGCTATATCAGCGGTTGCAGGCCTACTTTCACGCACTTTTTGGACTTTCCGCGATGGCCTAACATGGGTTGGCCGAACGAACATCGCAGGGGGTTACATGGACGATGTTCGCTATTACCCAACCTTCCCCATCGTTACACATGTACGCCTGAATATACGGAATGCATTCGCATTATGGCAGTTTATTACAAAACAAAATCACTTTTAAATAGGATGAGTCTGCACAACATGGGACAGGAACAGCTCCCAGGCATCTGTCAAAGACTTAGCATTCAGGCCAAACCAAAGACGATACTGTACTTCGTCTATGTGAGCCCACACAACTCGACCACATACAGGGCCTCCCTCGTGGAGTTTCCTTTTCAGTCTACTCCAGTATGCCTCAATGGCATTGGTATACCGTCCGGTGGTAGGGTCCTTGAAGTTCTTTGAGTGGTTAACATAGAAATGTAGATAACCTTCTGAGGGAGGACGATTATACACCTTCCACTCGTCCGTTACCACTATACTGCCTTTGGCGACCCATTTTGTAATAACGGAACGGAGAGCGGGCCAACTTCGATCATTCATCTGTTCAAATAAGGCTTTCTGTCGGCTAGTAGCGTACATCCCCACCAGCTATCACCCATAAAACCCCTATTACCACCTGTCCCGTAAGACAGGCTGCTATGGTTAGGCCGAATTTTTTGGGTGCGATCTCCCGCTTGTTACCGCAGTCTGACATTGTCATGCGGCAGAATAAAAACGCGTTCTGTTGTTTAACTTTTGATGTTTGGCGACGAGAGCTTAGTTCAGTCGTTCTAATATTCGACAATAGAGGTCTTCTGTTACAGCCTGACTTTGTTTCAATGGCTCAAAGTGAAATATGCCTTACATACCCCACCAGACACTTGGTTTGTGGATCTGATTTCGACGTGGGAACTGGCGCCTGACTTGTGGAAAGCCGTTGGTGCTTGTGCTGGTTTTGGCAAGGGTATGGTTTATGGTCGGGATTAATTAAGCCGCGGAGCAGTTGTGTTAAAAGAGAATAACTGGCGATATTTACTTGTACGTGCCAGAGAAGGATATTAAAAGACTTCGTGGTGGCTGCTGTGTGAGAGTGGTCAAGATGCGTTAAGTCGGAGTAAAAATATGGAAATGTCAGCAAAGGGAAACTAAATATATTTTTATTATTACAATTAAATAGTGTCCTTTTTTAATTGGTGGAATTATGGAGAGTCAAAATTTGTGATACCCCAAAGTTCTTAGATGCCCAGCTCTTTTGCTTAACACATCTTCTCCCCGCAGTAAGTAACCCCGGCCATAAATCATACCCTTGCCCAGTCTGTTAACATGAAGAAACCGTTTCTCATCTCCACTGACAAATCGATGAAGAGCTGGCCCTCTCTCCAGTCTGCTTAGCAATAAGTCACAGATTGTGGAGCGCTGGACTTTGCTTTTTTTATCGAAAGTCGGCGAGTAATTCAAACTCCTTGTCTACTGACCTTGCCTATCTATTGAAGGCGCTCCTCAACAGTAGACCATGATAAATCTAGTTTATCTGATTGCTCCTCGATGGCTTGACGAGAATCTGTCTCCGTGGTTGCGTTCTAAGGACCGTTGTCCAGCTACACTGGTCTTCCCGGACGATGGACATCGGAGAGGTCGAAATCCCCCGATCGGAATTTCGCGAACCAGTGCTGGGCCTTGCGGACGTCCAAAACATTCGGATAAACATCATAAATTTTTTGGGTGACTGTTATTGCATTGGTTCGTTTACGAAAGTCCTACAGCATACAGTGACAAACATGGCCGCCTTCGGGTACTTTTCCCATTTTTCTTGGCGTAGTCTAGAAAACAAAATTTATCTTAAAATCTAAAAAAGAAAAACCTAACGGACTTGCATGGAACAAACATCGGCAGTTTGACCGTCGATTTCGATGGCGTCTACCGTGTGCTCCACAGCAAAGTGAAACAGCGACGGTGACTTAAGCGTGAAGTAGTTTATAGTGTTAGCAGACTTTCGGAGCTCCTATCTCACTATCACCCCCTCACACACCTGGACTCCGTGTCAAGGTAGAGTCAAGAAGACAGGAGGCTGGAACGGAAGCAACTGGCTGACATGGCGTAAGCCCGCGCCTAGGCGTGTCATCAAACTCCCTGGTCCGCAACGCAAAATGGCCAGGATTTTAAACACAACAGGAGAAGAGCGATCCCACGGACAGTGGCAGTGACATACAGGCCACATTAGGAAGGAGGCATTGCAGCCTGACTCTTAGACCACCGGTCCACTAGTCCACACAAAGACACACTGGACCGACTACGAGGTCCGAGTTATCCCGTCAGCTTGCAGATTCACAAGCCACGGATTTTAGCACATCGTGGAACAGATATAAACCTTTACTGAATAGCATTCAAAGTAAGACCACTTAAAACGACACTACTTTCCAGCATACATAATAATAACAACCTTCGGAGTTGTTATTTGTTCGCGATTGCTTTTAAGGAGGTAAGTGGGACACCACACTAGCTTTACTTTGTTGATCTGGAGCAGACATTTGACTGTGTTAAATTCGCAGCTGCAAGTTTGCAGACAACTAGGTCGACCTAACCGCAGAAGTTAAATAGTCCGTTAGAAGTGTGGCCGAAATGGCAGGCAAATCATTACAAAGTCCACCGAAAGCTGTCGCGTTTCCCTAACCCCTCGAGTCTGAAGCCAGAGGAATGTGATAAGAAGGGATATTTGGAAATTATTTCCCAGTGAAAAAGTAAGTTTGGTTGTCGGATCCAGATCAGACGGAGTTACCAACAAGTGTATTACTCTAAATCAGAGACACCACTTCTAGACGTATCCAGCTTTCAACTAATGTGACTGTTTTCCGACACCATGGAATTTTCAAGTTTCCCAAGGTTCTGCATATTGGGTGGCCACATGATATTCAACATGGCTACAATTTCAGTGAAATGTCGACTGCGAATTTCGGCTGTGCTTTCCGGTAGAAGGGTCCACTTAGATAACATTGCAATATTTGTTTACGTGAGTGTAGGACGCTGACTTCTGGCAGAGCATCCTTCCACCCACCTACGCCAATCCTACTCTTAATACTCGATTAGTGTGGTAGTAGACTTCAAGTCTGGCTCCCAGTCAATCACAACTATCCAAACCGGCCAATCATCTTCAAGGCCGACGCATTTTCCAGTCATTCTGTACAGAATACAATGCTCTGTCTACTGGCGTCTAACTTCTCTTCTTTCTGTTTGCGCCCGAGCCTGAAGGTCGTAGTGGCAACGGTCCGCCCATGACTCAAACTGCTGCGACCCACACAGAGTTTAAGTGGAGACATCTTGCTTGTGGGTGCAAGAATGCTGAACCTGAAATGAGCACTCCATAATGTCTGCGTGAACTTTTAGCCGTAAATCAGTATTGCAGGTGCGCTTAAGCAATATTCTGAATTTAAGAGTTTATTTAAAACTCCCCATCACTGGTGTCTGTCGCAACTCTAAATCGCTGTCGCTACGCGCGAAGAAACTCAAACGGACACGACCAAATCAATTGATTTACAGGGGCTGTGGTGACTCACGCCCTACCGCTATCATTTGGCTGATGGACGTGCGTGATAGAACGCTCACGTCCACGATTCCTCCCCTCCAGCCAACCAGCGTGACCAGCCAATCATTTTAGACGTCTGCGTTTGCTCTGATTGGCCTCGACACGCACATCCCGTTTGGCCTACCTGTCGGATGCGCGTTGGCGAGTCTGCTTTTGAGGCCTTTGTACGGAATAAGACTTCTTACCACAGGGCTATCTCACTTTTTTCCTCATAAATCCAACTTGGTTTTGGATCGTAGTGGTTGACCTAAACCTGCTACCTTAACTGCTGTCCGATTCTGGCTGTTTGGTGACGCTGATTGCGAAATCAAATTAAACTTCCTGGGTCGGATCCTGTCTCATTGAATTGTCTCCAGCAGAGTCTCAAACCGAGAGGGCAAACTCTGATAAATTAGCGACAGAACAATGCATCTGGACAGCCCCTATAAATGTTGCCTTCAATTAGAATTCCGGTAGAATGAGTGTCTGTTTTGATTCCTGTAACCGTGCACAATCACGCGCGGCAGCTTACTCGGGACGACCTATTAGAACGTAAGACCGATTAAAGTAAGCCAGTATGTTTTCTGAGAAAATGTGAGAGTAACTTGGGGTTAGCCACCTGACGGATTGTTTTATGTCCCCTCCCAGGCGTTCACTGATACGCACATTCCGATTGGCGTGATAATGGGACACCAAACTGAACCCCGGAGGGCACGAATCACAATGTTCGCTGTGGAACACCGAGTCGACCACAAAGTTGTCTGTAAGTTTTCTGTACTGATACGCCGAACCCAAACTCCAAAATCCTTCTGTTAATAGTCTCAGACACTTTTAGGTTTTCCCCATCCTTTTGGAGCAGGGCCTTTCTGCTAATAGTCGAGTTGAAAAACACTGTTTACGGCCTAAAACCGCAACCACTGGAAGGTGGGGTGGGGGCTTGTAGTTAAAAGCCTTAAGTCAACAATCAGCAGCCATTTCGAAATATCTGTCCTTGACAATTTCCTGAAGTTGTTCAGGTATTCTGTTCCCTGACCCTCAATATTCGACCCTGCAGCTAAGGTTGAGGCAGAGTTTTGACAGATCTGAATTATTTAACCAACCGATAATAGCTCAGCGGCCTCTGCGGGCCTCAGGTTCAGCCAGCGCCCTAACCACATGGGGTACGAGTTTATTTTAACCTTTTCTCTTTCATCATTCTCTTTCAGACAAGAGACTGTTGAACCTAGTGCTCAAGAGGATGCGCGAAAACGAAATAAAACAGGTAATTTTTGTTTTAATAAGTAAGCCATTCCTGTTCAAAGAAGGCATCTGGGCATGGAAAAGGTAGAATTAAAGTTTTAAATTCGCTCGGAAATTAATGTGTGAGCTCGGAGTAAGTTCTTCACCAGAAACCTCGCTAGGTTTGGCCAGGAAGTTGATATGGACACCTGGGTCGATCAACCGCGTGGTGTTCACATTCTGCTAACAGGCTGTCAGTAGTATGTAGATACCGATTGATTGGCCACACTCTTAGCATCAGATGCGCGGCTCTGCGCTTTTTGCCATTACACCCGCTCGAAGAATGGTAGACCAAAAACATGGTGCTGCCTGTTCAGAAGAAACTACAGTGATTACACAGTTTTTGACAGTTGTGTCAATATGAATTATTCAAAATCTGCCAAAACGTCTATGAATTACGTGAGCCTGGTAGTCATCTAGTGGATCCCAGGTGAATTACTTAGGAAATCCTGCTTGGGCAGTCAACTTACTGTATCAGATTTGGTGGATCCCAGACGTTGCAGTAGGTTGGGCGGGTGACTTGGCCCAAAATTTGATTAAACTCGCGTCGTCCTGCGGGGCCTTGTAGCTCAGGTGGTTAGAGCGTTGGATGTACTAAAGCCTTCCCCCTTGCTGTCGGGGTTCGAATCCCACCGAGGCACCGAGTTTTTCACAGTTGGGTCAATATGGATTACAGTTAAGTTGATTTTTACAAAAGAATAGGCCACATGGCATTACTGACAAAAATAAGGGAGGCTGGTATAACCATTTCTGGCTCATTAGCCGTCGTCAACCAGTCATACCCAACCCCGAGGTGTGGAACATCTGGGGCTCGATCTCGCGACCTGTTGGTTAGAAGTCTAACGCCTCTAACCACTGAGCCAGGAGCTCGATGTCTAGTCGGTTTCGATCGGGAATATACAGTGATAGAAGGGCGCTCACCGATCGTTCTTACGGAACTCACTCGCCCCGTTGGGCTTTATGGGCTTCTCTCGAGTCCAACCAGCAGCCGCGCAGCGACGCATGATATTAGCAAAATGGCAAAAGACAAGGGAGACTGGAATGGCCATTTCTGGCTCATTAGCCGTAGTCAGCCAGTCACACCCAAGAACGCCCGCTCTTTAATCAAACTTAACTTACATTGGAGTCCTGCCTCCGATGACGAAATCGCGGCAATTAACGACTCGGACGCCGACTGACAAGCCGTCATCGCATCACTTACGACCCCAGCGGTGATTGCGAGAGCTGTTAATTACAGTACGCATAGGGTCCCACGGCAGCCACGTGCTATAAATAATGCACTCCTTGTGCCACCATTACCCTTATCTGCGAGTGCCTGATGATGGGTTCGAGTGCGAATCCGAAACACCAGGCCAATAAATTTCTTTTTCCAGTGATCGAATCCTTGTCTTCTGCACCTCTTTCTGGAACTCGCCTGTTCGCTTCTATACATGTAGACTTGCCAGCGGCGCTTTATTCAAAGTTCACTATTTTTTGAAAATATCTTTTGTTCGTTTTTTTTAAATTATCGCGCCCAATTTCTTTGCCAAATGACAGCGTACGGTAAGATTTTCGGCAAAAATTTATCTATTGTCTGTGTTTTCTTGCTCTCCATCCTGTGCGCTGCCTCACTCGTAAAATCCCCGCTACGGTCCACAGGCCAGCCCAAGTTAGTTGTGGGCCCTACACCCTATCGTCGCCAACTGCCCCAGATGCTAGGGACAGCCACAGCTATAGTAGTGAAAATGCAATTCCCAGATGTCATTATCAAAAAAGGAGGTGTTCACCGGGAGAGGTGTGGTGGAGGTCTGACGTTTCGGGTAGTCGTTTCTTCTACCCATCTTCAGAATAGGAGTTGCCCACAGGCCCGACTCGACAATCCGCCGGCAAGTGATGCGGCCAAAAGACCCGATCCCTAAGCAAGAGATGTCAGTCGTTGTCTACCGACTTCAGTGCAGCTGCGAGATGTGCAACTAGGTTGGGAAACCAGCCAACGGCTGCAAACGCGAATGCACGAGCATAAGTTGGTCGTGCGAAGGTTGGACCAAAGGTCGGAGGTAGCAACCCATGCCGCGAAAATGGGACACATCTTCAACTTTGCCTCCGTTGGAATTGTGGGCAGGGGTGATGATCATACGGCAAGGCAGGTACAAGAAGCCCGGACGTCTACCGACTGTTCTGTCAACCGCCACATCAATCTGCCTCTCCCCTATCTGGTTCTACAGACATTCTTGACGGGGGACAGTCACGGCGCGGGACAATCGGGGCCGTCAGCTATCGCCGACGAGGATGGGCGGGATTCAGGTCATGGTGACATGCAGGTCGGATGCAGCCACACAGGCGTCAAACAAAATGAGCCATATAAGGAGAGCTGTGTGCATGACTTCCCAGCCTCTGAAGATGGGTAGAAGAAACGACTACTCGAAACGTCACATGACCAATAAACCTCTCCCAGTGAACGCCTCCTTTTCTTTTGACAGCCACAACTGCTCAGCCCTAATTGGGTGGGCCGCAGAAGTTCTACTGTCTGTCTTGCATGCAAGTGTGCCGGATAGGATAATGTTGGCGTGTGTCTTAACTAACACAACCATCAGACTCACTCCTGGTCGGCAGGTTAGACCGAGAGATACCAGCAGGCGGAGTTTATTCTGGTGGTCTGAGCACTCGACATGTGACCACCTCCGGGTACTCGGACGCGTCTGTCTGCGGGGCGAAGGTGACTCTGTGTGTTTCGGGAGATGAGAGCCAATCAGCGTCGCGTTAGCAAGTGAACTGGACTGTTCCCGGGTTGGCTGCCCTCGCGGCATGCCCCATCCATCCGAAGGTGGTGATCACGTGACGCGTGTGGCAGGGGGGGGGGATAGGCGGACTGCATATATGCGTTTGAGGTGCTTGCGCAAGAAACCGCTGCGACGACCGCACGACGACCTAGTCGGTTTTGCTCTTGCAGCGCCAAAATGCCGGCATCTTGTGTGCGGGCATTGTTACCTGAAGTTAGAACGGCTTTACCCTGAGGGCATTCACCTAACGTCCTTGACCGCATCGCATGCACTAATGGCTTTTGCGTGGGTGTTAACCGCACAAGGGACTCTAACTAGTAGACAGAAACTGTTTGCCTGTCGAAGTGCTCCGATCTCGCTCGCCTTGCTCATGCACATAAAGACCACCGAAACGGTCGCCGTGGCTAACACGAAACAGACGCTAGTAGTCTCCATACCCGTTACTAGTTAAGTGACCAGTGTAAGCCATTGCTTGGACCTGGGCACGCACTACGAAGACCCGCGCTACTACCCCATCAACCATCCGCCCCCCTCTTAAAAACAACTCATCCATGATTATCCATCTGGAATCTACAAATGTCTCTGATGATGGGTTCGAGTGAGAATCCGAAACGTCAGGCCAATACACTTCTTGTTCCAGCGATCGCATCTCATTTTTTTTCATTTGAAAACTCTCCGAGTCACCGTTTTTTCATTTATTCTAGTACTTCCCCACCTACCTATCCGAATGCCGTTCACCGGCTTCCTGTGCTCCTGGCGTGTACACACTTTACGCAGATCTAGTCTGATGCTGTCGCCGCTCCCTCATTAAGTCCGAAGACGGGTTGATGTCACTAGCCCTACAATTAACAAGTGCAACTCGTCTTCTCCAAAGAACCCGCCTCCCTCGCTGATGTGATAGTAGGGAGAAGCATTTGAATTAATGCACCTGATCCTAACCAAGGGATCACCGATCCGGTGGCCCAGTGCGAGAGCATGTGACCTAATGACCAACGTTCAAAAATGCCAGGGTTCGAACCACATGTTGTGTTGACCTGGGGTTGAGGTTAGGCCGGCTAAAGGCGACTATTATACCAGGTACGGCCATTCCGGCCCAGTCTGGTTATGCCGATGTTTCTTTTGCATATGTAGCGGGCAGCCATCATAACCAGTATGGCTTCATTGTTCAGGACTTTGCTGCCAGATGCGCTGACCTGAAGCCACTCGACCGACTTCAGCTCGAACACAATTGCGTCCACACAGTGTCATGGCTACCCATGCGCCACTTGAACGCGCTATCCCCTGCAACGACAACCTAAACCACTAGGACACCATCCCTCGGCAAATGCAACACACACTGACTGGACACCACTTGAGCTTGGCCCACGACCCTGCAAAAGCGGCTGCCACCGCTGTGTCAGGGACTCTCGAAGAGAGAGAGAGAGAGAGCGAGAGAGAGAGAGAGAGGACAACTCCGGGTTCTGTATACATTAAACCCCCATTCTGGTGCCTTCCGTCTTCTCCTTCCAACATGGGATTCGACCTGGTGCTTGTAGCACTCAGAGCACTTATTCTCACTGCTATGCCGCTACACATACATGTTCCGCCGGAAGATAATGTGTGAATCCGGAGAGAGGTCCTCAGATAGCGAGATTATTCGTCGAGGTCTACCGAGGCTGGTGTCAGTGGCAGCCATAAGAGCGACAGCAGGACTGAGAGGCGACAAAAAATAAGTCCAGGCGTCGCTAATTGGATTTGGAAAAATTGGATTTCCGGTTTGTGGCCATCCCGCCACATGAGTATTTTACGGGAATGCTGTGATTTGCCAAATGTATGGTGTTTCTTTTACCACTGAGAGAATTGGTTGTACCGTGGAGGGCAGATGCATGCACATCTGTGCAGTTGAGATCAAGACTTAGCTTACGATCTCAAGTTTTAGGCTGAAAGTTATTTGCATACAAACAGGCAATTAAGACGCAGAACTCTGGCATCGCTGGTCAGTTCCACGGACCTGACTGGAATCTGTCCCCATGTTCGCGACCAAACTAGGCTAACCATCTATTCGAATTAATTCTCAAGGGAACCCCAACAGTTGGTGGTGCCCGACCCTGATCACGGCGGCTGAACTGACCTTTCGGCGTTTAAATTAGTCGCTTTGCCAACGAGCCACCTTCCCGCCCAACTAACAGGTCTTACTGTGAAATGTGCAATTACTGTGCCAAAAACATCACATGGACGAATTCTTCCGCCAGTATATTTTGGTTTTGACGAGTACTCATTACTACGGATACAACTCTATCTCTCTTTCCCGTCACGCTAGCAAAAGTTATCGGTCGACAGTTTACGTCGTTCGCTTAGGATGCCACTTCCCTGATCTCCTGCCGCTTTTGTCGAATTAGCGGTTGTTTTTATTGTTTAGGTTGTCATTCTGCCCCTCAATGAGGATAAACGCAGAAGAATGCTCCAGGTCATTGGCGACGGAGGTCCGCTGCGATTCATCAACTCTGACAGGGAGTTTCAGTTCTATATTTGAAGTGGCATGCTTGGAAATGCATGCGCAGGATAACGTCAGGAAAAATCCTGATTGTGCATTAAAGAATGCTTTCATTCGGCCTTGCGTTCTTAATCGAAACACCCGTTTTTGGTTGAAAGAACGGGAGATAGGCGGCGTAGGCGCCAACGTACTCAATCGAAACAATTCGTCCGACGACCACAACTATTGGAATAATTTCTGCTACTATAATACGTTTAAGTAGGTGCGTAGTGAAATATTTACACATAGGGGTACTCAAGTCACCCATGTCGGCGAGTAGGCGAACTATGATGTTAGGCGAGGCCGTTTAGCAACATACGCTTGTCTCGCATCCGCAAAACCAGGAAAGTAAACAGTTTTGCCTGAGTTTGAACGTGTGTAAGGTCAGCCATTAAGCACCCGTTGTCAGGTGAATGCTTGTAATAGTACGAGTTGCGTTTGGCATGACGATCATCAGTAAAATCGCACAGGATGATGTACATACGGCAGTCTACCCTATCAAATATTCACTGGACGCAACACAAAGAAGGGCTGGCAAACAGTGAGGGAATCTTAAGGGTGTAGGTGGTACAGCTGTCGCGTCCTACGTTTATGTCTCATCCGCGTGTGCGTGACTTGGGCCTTTGTCTGGTTGGCCTTGAATATCCATAAGAGCGGGTGAGGTGCAGGAAAAGATAGACACCAAATTACTTGCATCCTGTCGAGTTTCCCGCCAAAACAAAACATCAACGAACCCGTTTGGAAGTAGTCGGTTCTACTTTTTCCGACATATAGCAAGTAAACTTTGACCTCTAGCAGGTCCGCAGAGAGCAGTCTTCTCAGAAGGAGATGTCATTCTTTTAAATTTTCAGAAGATTCTTCTACCTTACAGCATGCGTCCTTTGAGAATGCAGATACTCTACTAGCCGAAATTTGTTGCGAGATATGACGCGTTTCATGATTGCTAAGCTATTGGTTCCTTTTCATAAATGCTTTTAAATACCGGATTCGGGAAGGCGGTAAACAGAGACGTGATTGGATGACGACTGAAAATGGCCAGTCCAGTTTGCTTTGTGTGTAAGCGATAATGATAGCTTGACCGTCGCATCCAACGATGTCCACCAGCTGCTCCACGGCCACGCGATGCAGGCAGGCTGACTTGCGTTGGAATTAGTTTGTGGTGGGGGTGGACTTGCACAGCATCTACTGCACTCCCTCCAGTGTCAAGACAAAGTCAAGAAGACCGGAGTCGGAGATGGCGCTGATGGGTGGCGCGGCTGAACTCGCACCTTGGCGCTACACTCCACACCCCCTGATCCACAACAAGCACTTAACCAGGAGAGAAAGGACGTGAATGACTGGGCAGCCATGCACACGACCTATATACCCAGCGGAAGTGCAAGCGCATCTACCAACAGGGAGTCAGGTGCCCGAGAACTGCCAATGCACATCAGGTTGCGAGGCCAATGGTTTCCTGACCGTGGAATAGCAGACGCTGTTTTAAGCTAGACTTTGTTTGACTGGCACTTGGGGATAATTTCTCAACAGCACGGGATAAAAATGACACTACACGCTTACCAAGACTGATAACACAGGCCTTTGCAGTTTTGGAAAAACTGCCAACTTACTCTGAAATAGCGGATTGGCTCGTCGGTCTTTTCATGCAGGTAGACTTCCGGTTGTGTTTTAAAGTACACTGCTAACTAATAAGAGCTGAAAAAAGGAACGGTAGGATGTGGTTTGGTAGCCCAACCTGATGGGCACACTACTGTTGGGGTTGGGGTTAAGGGTTAGGGCTAGGGATTATGGTTAGGGGTTATGGTTGGGGGTTAGGGTTCAGGGTTAGGGGCTTTAGTCAGGGGTTAGCGCAACTATTTCTCAACCATTCAAACTACAGCCGCGCATACCCAATAGCTTTTCTTTTGCATGCAACTGCTCAGCCTTGTCACCTGTGCGTTCCCCGGCCCCATCTGTAAAAACCCCTATTAGCACCGGCCCCGTATTGGAGGTGACTGGGGTTTGTTTACTTCAGGTGGGGCTACATAACCGCATCCGACCAAAGAAACCAAATTGAAAGCGAACACAAATGTCACAATGTCACAAATGCTCCAGCCAAAAGGTTACCAAATAGATTCTCGGGAAGTAAGTAACAGTTTCTTGGCGTTCATTATACAAACTAATTAGAACTTGTCGTTTTCTAAATAGATTCTGTCGAAAGCCGCACTCTGAGGGGAAGTCAGGGACGTTTGAAGTATAACGAGAATTGGGCCGACAAACGTACGCCTTCGCCTATTCCTCATCAGGCCTGAACAGCAGAATATACATCACGGTGTACAACTGCTAATAGAAAAGGCTGCTTCGAAGGAGGGCTAAAGGCGTCTAGTATGACTAGACAAGAGGACAAAATTATGGTCTGGTTCTGTCAGGGGCAGGGACAGGCGGGAGGTGCCAAAGAGGATGTATTTGCGTTTCGTCGCTGCAATGAGATCTCTCAGGTGAGATCCAAGTCGCCCTTACAGAAGTCCGGCAGATTTTTTGGAGACCAGGTTATGTGCAGTATGCGTCTTGACAGCCACTACGCATACGCCCACATCTGCTTATACTTACATTCATATTAACCCAACAGCAAAATACTCGGCGCCTCGGTGGGATTCGAACCCAGGACAGCAAGGGACAGGCTTTAGTACAGCCAAAGCTCTAGCTCCTTGAAATACGAGGCACCACCGGCAGACGTGAGTTTAATCAAATTCAGGTCACCCTATCCGCCTAACCTATTGCAACATCTGGAATCCACCAGACGACTACCAGGCTCACATACAGTGAGTGACCGATCTCATGAAATGTTGGCTGAAATTCTGAAATGCGTTTTCGATTAGGAAGGATTACTTAGTCGCGGTTGTAATACTGATTATCTTGTGGCATACTCTTATATCATTTCGGACTCGGCAGGATGTCGGCTCTTGAATGCACTTCTTTTGAATCTCCCGTAGAAGGCGTGCTCGGTAAAATATGACTACTTTAGTAGCATGCATTTTCCCCATTGATTTTCGATGGTCTTGGAAATTCAAATATATTTTATAGAAACCATAAACAAAAATATGCCTTCTTTTAATCAATCAACAGAGAATCACGTCTTCTTTATATTATATACTTAAGGAAGAAGCATAATTAGGTTTTAAAAAAGTTTCTGATTATGAGACTTTTTAAGACCGCGATATGTCCATTCACATAGCATCGTACCTGGCCGTTTATCACTGCTCCTCATGAAATGTACAACATGGTCCGCATCCATTGCACAATTTTATGGACCCTGTATGATATCTCTTCAATGACATAGAAAAATATGGGATTTTCTTTACGCGGAACGCATGCACCTTGTAGAGTGTAGTCACTAAGCGCTAATGCAACGAATGATTAGGCTCCAAATTTTTCGGCAATCAGAAAACTTTTTTAAAACCTAATTATACTCCTTCCTTAAGTATAAAATATAAAGAAGACGTGATTCTCTATTGATTGACTAAAAGAAAGCATATTTTTGTTTGTGGTTTCTATAAAATATATTTGAATTTCCAAGACCATCAAAAATCAATGGGAGAAATGTATGCTACTTAAGTAGTCATTTTTTTACCGAGCACGCTTTCTACAGGAGATTGAAAAGAAGTGCATTTAAAAGCCGACATCCTGCCGAGTCCAAAATGTTATAAGAGAATGCCTTAAGATAATCAGTATCAACACCGCGACCAAGTAATCCTTCCTAATCGAAAACGCATTTCAGAATTTCAGCCAACATTTCATGAGATAGGACACGCACTGTAATTCAGAGTTGTTTTGGCAGATTTCAAATAGTCAATTTTGACCCAACTTTGAGAGCTTTTGTGCCTCGGTCGTATTTAAATCAAGGACGGTAAGGGAAAGGCTTTAGTACAGCCTGGTGGACTCTAGGTGGATTGTTTGGGAAATCCTGCTCGGCCAGTCAGCTTACTGTATTAGATTTGGTGGATTCCAGACGTTGCAGAAGGCTGGGCGGGTAACTTGGCCCAGATGTGAGTGAACTCACGACTCTCGGTGGGGCCTCGTGCCTCAGGTGGTTAGAGTGCTAGCTGTACTAAAGCCTGACCCTGGCTGCCGTTGGTTCCAATCTCACCGAGGTCGCCGAGTTTTTCATTATTACGTCAACGCGGAGAATTAGTTAACTAAAATCAACGTTTTGGATTGGAGTTCGAGTTTATCATTGGAGAAGCAGTCATGGGAGTGTCGTCATTGAATAAGGTTATGTAGTGTCCATTTGTGCCCCCACCCTAAAACACGCCGCGAGGTAGATGCGCCAGTTGAGAACGAAGTCGTCCCGGCGTTTTGTTGTGGTCCAGAAAAATCATATCACTGTGAGTTATGGGTCAGGAAGGGTAGTGGTACGCCGTGCCACCCACCTGCGCCCTCCCTCCCTTCCGGTCTTCTTGACTCTGGGTCCAGGTGAGGGAAGAGAGAGTGCGATAGATGCTGCGCAAGTTTACTATCACTACAGACTAGCTCAGGCACACGTCACCGTCCCTGCTCCCACCTTGATGTGGGTGGACATCGTAGGCAATGACGGTCGAACTGTCGTAAGGTTCAGTATGTGGATTTCCACTCTACCAGCCGATTATCCTCTGAACTCCTGGCCTTTCGTAACTCCCGTCACTTGTTTTATTGCCATAGAAATCATGGGTTTACGGAGTGTCTACCACATGACAAGTGATTTGGGATGGTCCTGTGGCGAGGTAGCGGACTAATTAACCTCTGATTATCTAGTCCCGTTTTCTTTAACCGAATTGTTTGTTTTAACGTGACGGAAACTACACACTTGGACAACCCACGCTTCGCTGACATGCTCCGCTGTCGTGCTCTGTTGTCAGGTCATTTTACGTTCTGAATATCAACATTATTCACTAAAATGATTTCGCTGACCGCCCTTAATACTTAAGGCTTTTGAGATATCATTCGTTAGTTTGTGGGAACATCATTAACTACATCAGTCCTTCGAG